TTTCATTGTTCATGTAGGAGTTTGTATCCTAATCGCAAGAGGGAGCTAACTCTACCTCTATATATATCTTGTAATGTTCGGTTGAAAGAACACACAGAGAAAGAAAATCTTTCCCTTCAAACTCGAGTTTCTCAGTTTCTTAGAAACCTTTGCAGAAAAGTATGTTCAGCCCAAGCTCCTCAAGCTCGAGTAGAAAAGTGCGACCACATCCTTGATGCCTAGTCATCTCCCACTCACCAGACGACGATTGTGGTCTATTTTTTCTAGCAAATTACCTAGTTAGGATCGTTCCGGAACAAAGAAAATTTGGATTTCCTTACCAAGAACTAAAAGTTCACCTTCCATTTGCATTCTACATTCTTATTTCTTCTACTGTTTTTTCCTTCTACCTATTTCAATTTCAGGGTTGTTGTTGAGGGCTGCATTTTAGTGATGTTCTCATGCTTAATCTTGAAATAATGGCATGGAGCACCCTTGTAACTACTCATCAACAGCCTGGTACAAAAGACAACCACAGTGCAATACTCGTGGGGCATAGGATGATAATTTTTGAGGTACCAATGGCTCCAAGAAGGTACATATGACCTTCATATATTGGATCTTAGAATAGAAGAATGGACCCAACCCAAATGTGAAGGAACCCCACCTTTCCCTCGTGAGAGTCATATACGATGACAAACTTGTGATATTTGGAGGTAGTGGAGAAGAGGAAACTAAGTTCGCTCTTCTTGGGTTGGTCGTTCTTCTTGGGTTTGTTCCTCTTCAGTTCTCTTCAAATAGAAAAAGGTGAAACTGGGATAAGAAGAGAGGGCACAAAGTATATAATATAGACATGGGTATTTTAGTAAAAAAGATGTACAATAATTCGTAAAAGGGTAAAATAAGTATTTTGAAAAAAAAAATGATTGGTTAAACATTTTCCATCATGGTCATTGATGGAAGGGAGGTATTTGTTAATTTTTTCGAAAATAGAGAGGAGGTTTTTGTTAAAGTTTAACTATAGGAGAGGTTCTTATGATTATCAGAAACTTCAGGGGAGGTTTTTGTATTTTACCCTTAATATATCTATAAAATTTTTGTATATTTTTCTACTATATTATTTAAGTGTTTCTATATTATTAATCTATATCCATGTATTTCCAAAATATATCCATATCCAATTTATATGGCACAATAATGAATAACATACTCCACCACCATACAATCCCAATGATAGATACCCATGTGGAAATTCCAAACACAGCAGCCCATGTGCTAGTGTGACCGGACCGTTTCCTCTTTGACAATTTAATATTGATAGGTGGTCGTCAGTTTGTCTATCCTGAATCCTATGTCGTCTTCTACAAATTTAAGCGTTACGAGGATTACAATAATAGATCATCTTTTACGCCAGCAATGCGAAGCCTTGGTAATCACTAATCAGATGTTGTATTTATCTGCAGCTATATATACAAGGAGGAGGATCATAGAGCAAAGCCCAACCTATAAAATACATGGTCCAACGAAACCTCATTCAACCCATACCAAAAGATCAATAATTCCAATTTTCGATATACAGAATTACAGAGATGGAATCTATTGTAATGAAAGGCGGAGATGGCCCCTACAGTTACCGGCGAAATTCCATGATACAGGTTTCTCTCTCTCTCTCTGATCATAATTTCATGTTAATAAGTTAATTTATTAGTTATATAGTGGTGATGCTAAGACAATTAGTTCTCTAATATAGATAGACTACCCAACAAAAATTAAAGTTAAACTTCACACACAGCACATATTTGATATTGATGAGAACACTACCAAACAAGTTCAGAAACTCTTCTACAACTCTCGCCCAGGATCTGAGTACAAGGCTCAGACGAGATGGTAATGGCATCCAAATTACTAGCTAGCCATATATGACCAAGAACCCAATGGTCAGAAAAAGACTCCACTACCCCATGCACCCAGAACCAACTAACACCACTGAGCATCTGCATCCCTCCTGACTTCCTCTCGACACTTTAACTTGGATTTTAGAACCTTAATTGCACAGTTTGCACCAGAGCTCATCCCCCTCCCTCTTTTAAAAAATGCCAACATAACTTCATGATAAGGGATTTATTCTTCACCAGGCTAGATCCCTAATTCCAATACCTCCTTCCTCCTTTCACTTTTTCATCACTCATCCCCAACCCCTCTCAAATAGAATGGCCTAGATCCAATTGGATCCTCTCTCCAAACCTGTAATGTTCGAAATGACTGATTTGGGGAATAATCTAGTTAGTGGCCATAAAATATGAGGGTATGGTTGATGCTCTACTTCCCAACCGAGCTTTAACCTTCTCTACCACCTACAGTGTTTTCTCCTTTGCTCCCCGTGACTCTTGGATAAAGCAATTAACCCAAATATTTCTCCGTCTTATTCATCAATCGAACTCCAAGGTTCTGCAAATTATGGCTCCTCACCTTTCTGAGAGTGTTCTTACTAAAGAGAATAAAGGATTTTTCAAAATTAACCTCCTGGCCCAACCAGTCACTTTAGTAATGAAGTCGAATTGCAGAGATGGTTGGTAAACGCATGTTGAGGGCGAAACAGGGGGCAGAGTAAGACCACTTGCCAGAGATAGGTTTCTGATGGTGTTGGACTTAGAAACAGAGGCGATTAAGCTCTCAAATTAGAACCCATTTCGGTGCAACGGATTGAAATTTTCGTTACGTTGTTGGTCCCCCTGAGTTGGAAAGGGGTATAGTTTTGGATGGATTCCAAAATTGGAAGGTCCGGTGTTTTGGTTTGCCCCTCCATGCTTGGAGCTGGAAGATGTTCAAAGAAATAGGGGACGTACTGGGAATTGGTAAATTTGGGGTGTTATGCCTCTAAAATTCTTTTTTTTTAATTAAAAAAAGAAAAAAGTGAAAAAAAGAAATTTGACTGTCGACTAAACAAAACAAAAACAGAAAATTTTTGCTTTCCAAACCCTAGACGAATAAGACACTATTAACGAGCGATTTACAGGAATAGGTCATTCTTTGATCAAGGGCAAAAATCCTTTTTCAAGATTCTTCACTGTTTCGTTTTCTTCTCCTTTGGGCGCCATTAACAAGCAGGGGTTTATAGATGTCTCTTACTTCTTCAGATTTCAGCCAAAGGCAAAAGCCATTTACAAGAAATCGTTTGATTTCATCTGTGTTTCTTCTTCTTCTCACTTGGCTTGAAGACACTGATTTTTGCAAGTGAAGCAATAGCATTTGCGACATCAAGCTACAAAAGAAATTTCTCTGGGACCCATTTGAGATGATTAAAGCTCTTAGAAGGACCTTTGTGAGAATAAACTATAAGCTGTCTTTGTAAAACTCACACCCTTTGCAAAACAATTTTTGTCCCTTGAATCTATATCCAAAACAATTTCCTACAAATCTATTGTTAATGGCGCCCAAAGAAAAAAAAAAAAAAACAAACCAGTGAAGAAGAAACCCCATTTCCCACAAAATGATTTCTGCCTCTTGATTGAAGAACGATTTATTCCTGTAAATCGCTTGTTAATGGCATCTTTGTTGGGCTGTTGAGGAATGCTCTCTTCTGCCTCTTGACAAAAGAACGATCTGTTCCTAGAAAATGATTTCCTTTTCTTTGTATTTTTCTTTTAAGGTTCAAAAATTAAATTTTGGAACATAACACTCCAACTTGTCGTTTAATTTAATCCACACATGTGAAATGGGAATCATGTAACGTATGACGTGGTTGAATCTGATTGAAAGTACATCACACCCCACACCAAAATGAGTGTAGGAAATCTGGGTTCACGTAATGGGGGTTTCGTGGATGTAGCAATTGAAAATTCTGTAGCATTGGAAAGATTTAGAAGCACAAACAACCGAGCCATGTGAGAATCTAGAACATTTTGAGGGGGAGGGGGCTATAAGATGTTAGCAGTAGACTGCAAGTTGGACTACGAAAATCAGGAAGCTTCGACGACCACCGAGCCATGTGAGGATCTGTTGAGAATTGGGGTCAATGAAACTTGGAGAAGTTCTGAGGTATGTTTAAAGATATTGTTTTTAGATTGTTATTTGCCCCCACTGAGTTTGTTGTTGGGTTACAAGTAAATTCATTCCCACAATACAACAGACCCTTGGGCAAGAATCTGTAACCAGCAAAGTTGAAAGTCTCTGAAGAAACCTTATATGAGATAGTAGCAGATCGGACTAAGAAAGACAAAGTGGTTTTCGAAAATTGTGTGTGCAATTACTTGATTGAACACTCCTTAAATAATTTCTAAAGAGTCATAGACCAAAAGAAGGTACTGGTTTAGAAAAGGCTCCTTCAATAATCACAATTTCAATAATTGTGACTGTTAAAAGGTAGCTAACAGTTACTGACCATTAATTTTGAATAGTGCCTCTTGATCACACCTGATCGAGTTGTGGCCATTGAAACATCAATGGTCAGCCTCGCACCAAAGTGTGCCTCTAAAGCATCTCATTGTGCCACACACACATGTATCCGCATTGCACGGTAGCAAGCCTCCATACTCTCCTCTTTATTTGTAAGGAGTGTAAACAAGCTACTATTTAAAAACTCAAAACAGGTCTTGTAATTTTCCAATGTGGGACAAGTTAAAAATTGGTTTTAGTAAGAGAAAAAAAAACTATTTTTCAAGAAATGTGTGCAGGTGTGTTTTTCATTTAATTGATCAATCATACACCATTGGATATCTCTAATGAGATTAAAATCTAATAGGATCCTGGTTCGAAAGAGACAAGAAAAAAAGCAGGGGATACATGTAATGTAAGCAGAATAAGACAAAGACAAAGGGGATTACAGTTTGTAGGATCCATTTCTGGCGAACGAAGGACTCATGGGCAGCTGCAAATACTCAAGCTAAGGAGGAGAAAGATGGAGGTACCATGGAGCTTGCGGTGGTTCTAGTAGCCAGTAGGGGAGGAGGCAGGCGCTTCGGGAGGGGTGCCCACTACCAAACAATCAAGAGACTGGGTCTGCTCCTTACACAGGGCTCCTCACAACGACCTTACATGAACATCCCACCATGCATTGGGAATAAGGTAAATTTCTTAAACTACCCTTATGGCTTAGCTAATTGATTAAGTGTACCCTTATTGTTTGAAAATTGACCAATGCTACCCCTATTATTTCTGACAATTGACTAAACCTCTCCTTGTCGTGAGCATCCGTTAACTTTCTGTTACATACGATATCATGTAACTAATATATTTATCAAAAATTCCAAAAATACCGTTCCCACCTCCATTCCTAAAAATACCCTTTGACCTCTGTCTACACCAGTTCACCCCAATAACCAGTCAGCTCGGCAGTCTTTGACATGAGCAAGTTCTCATTGACGCCAATGTCTTCGATGCTGAACAAGTGATTATTGCGGTTGCCACTATTGGTATGGTTGACGAAGTTGAGATGTTGAGAAGATGTGGTGCCATTGATTCTGCCGGTGGGTGCGAAGATGAAGACCCTTTCGTGGACGGAGAAGATTCGAAACAAGTCAGATCTCTAGAGAGATCTATAGTAGCACCTTTGGCCTTTGGGTTACATGACACCCTTTTTATGGATGGGTCTCTCTTCGAAGGGTGAATTCATTAATTTTCTCGACTCTGATTGCTGGTTCGAAGGGAAAATCATTCCCTTCCCAAAGTCCTCCAAAGGCCAATTTTCATCTCTTCCCTCCTCTCTAACCCACCCACCCACCCGAGAGAATCAAGAAAATCGGTAAAAATGGCGAGTTTTGGCGATTGAAATCCCCCAATCATGAAGAAACTCCATCTGCATCAACATCATTTACCTTTTCAGATTTTCCTGAAGATGTTCAGCTCGGTTTTTTCTCTTTCCTAACACCTTCCAAGATCGCTTCTTTTGCCTGCACTTCAAAGCATTTCGTTTCGCTCTATCAAAGCGACAACAAGCTATGGTTTTCTTTGTGCGATAAGAGATGGGGCTCCAATACCAGCATCAGAAAATGGGGAAATGGGCAGATCGGATTGATGCTCCTGTACAAAACCCTTACCAAAATTCTTTGATTGCTGACAAAAACAACAAAAAATTTTGGTTTTCTTTTCATTTGCAATTTTTTTTGTAAGATATTCTCTGTTGAAGCTTCCATGGTCCTAGGTTTGAGCACCAAGACTTGTAAGATATCAAACAGAGACAACAAAATCCTCCATTTTCCTCTAAAATACGAAAATGGTTCGGATTGAACAACAACAAAATCCATGGTTCTGGGTATGAGCACTGGGACTTGGACCTTGTAAGGTATCAGTTGGAAGCAACCAAATCCTCCCAAGCATGAAGCTAGAGGCAAACCAGATGCTAAGATATCAACCGAACTAGACCTAGTGGGGATAAATCTAGGAGACAATAGAAGGAGAGGGAGTCCAGAGAGACACAGGAGGCAAAAATGGGAATCCAAGAATTTTGTGAAGGTTGTTAATCAGAGGAGTCTTTTTGTTGTTTGATATACAGTTTCGGTGGTTCCAACAATTCCAGTGAAGAGAATGAGAGGGATAGGGAGAGATCTAAGTAATCTATAATGGAGGGTAAAATAGTCTTTTCATATCTTTATTGTTGATGCACGTTAATGACTAAGAAGGATTAGTCAATTGTCATAAATAGGGGTAGCGTTAGTCAATTTTCAAATAGTAAAAGTACGCTTAGTCAATTAACTAAACCATAAGAATAGTTTAAGAAATTTACTTCTTGGGAATATGTCTTGTATTTATACGTTATTATTCGCGGGCTCATGAGGAGCAAACAATCTCAACGCACAAGATGAAGAGAGAGAAAAAGAAAATATTTTCTCTTTCTTGCGTGACAAATATTTTAGGGTTGTCAAGCTGCCACGAGAGAGAGTGTGTGTCGGTGGTTCGAAAAAGGAGATAAGGAGGCAAGAAAAGCGGACCAATGTAGATCATCAGATCCGGAGGCCAGAGTCTTGAGGAGCTAGGCTGGGTATATTTCGCTTGATGATGCCGAGGAGGCTTTCAAACTGTGGAGGTTACTTTGGAGTAGGAAGGTAAGAAGGTTGACAAAGGTTTACATGGATTATTCATGTCAAGGTGGTGGAGAAGGAAATCAGAGGCAAAAAGTCTTCTAGAGAGAGAGGAAGGAAAGATGGGGAGTCAAGTCGGGTTAGGACTTAGAGGGCTCCCAATTTTATCAAGGGTTGTCCCTAACTTTTTCTGTATGTTGCGGGTGGGGTGCTTGTGGGGAGGTTAGGAATGACGAAAGTTGTTTCTCCCTTGGTTTTGGTGGGCAAAAGAATTACTCGTGATTGTTTCAGGTTTGGTGTTAATGGATCGGATTCGGTTTTTGTATTGGGCATGGGATCACCTTTTTCTTTTCTTCTCTTTTTTGTATTCTATCTGTATTTTGTTTTATGTACTTATCAAAAATAAAGGACATCCAGCTCGAGAATAAATAAATATATTGACAAGGGACATCTTGTGACGTAAGGATGCAAATGGGTTGAATCATGATCTGATTCTATTTGGTAGAATTTGGACACCCTTGTTCGAATTTTCGGATTGGATAATAGGATTACTTTCTATACGATCTGATCTCATTAATGTAATATATTTATAATATAAATATATATATATATATATAACTTACATGTTATTTATTTATTTATAAATATATTATTTTTATTTTATTTTTATAATTTTGTTGTATTATTTATTTTTTATAAAAATATGTATATATATGATGAAAATAATTAAAAAAAACTTGTATTTTTTCTTTATTCAAATTGGTATATTTTATTTTTCTTTTAATAACTTATTAATATTTAAGGAAAATAAGTTAGATCATATATCAAATTTGAAGATCTGACCTACCGATAGGATTCGAATTCAGGTCAAGGCCTATAAGATCTGATCAGATCTAGCATAAACAGTATAGTAAAAGTAATTCAAGAGAAGAAACCCCCAATCTATTCTGTCTAATGCTCACTCTATTCCAACGTTTTTGAACCGCCCTTGACCCAAACGGTCAGACCGTCTGGCCCGAAAACTGTCCGGGCAACCGGTTCCGTTTTACCCAAAATCTGATCAAAAAACGTTAAAAAAGTCAACAAATCGTTGACCCGGACAGTTGAACCGTTGATCCGTTCAATAGTTTTTGATCGTTTTTTTTTATTCTGCTGTCAGAATGGGCCGTCCATTTGAACCGGACGGTCAGACCATTAACCCGAAAACCAGTGCCCAGAACAGTAATTCCGTTTCCGAATCATTTTTTAAAACATTGCTTTGCTCTGTCATAAGCATTAGACAAACCGAGCTTTAGTAAGAAACTGTCAAATTTTCCCCACTTTTTCTTCAATGAGTGAACAACTTTCGATGCAATGATTCTATTTATCAACGATTTGTCATCCGGGCACAAATGCATTTTGCAACAATGTAATGAGCTTGGGCAAAATATTTTTAAGCTTGTTAGCAATTATATTTAGCACGTATCTTGTAGAGAACATTGGTATAGGAGATGGGTATAAAATTTGACACAAACTCAACTCCAATCTTCTTTGCAATTCGCACAATATAGTACCATTCACATCTGCAATTTAGAGGGATTTTGCCCAAGGTTCAAAGTATCAATATGTCTCTATGTATCAACAGAGGGATATCGATACTAATTTTTTAGTTTTTTATTAAAAATTAGTTTTTTTAATAATATTTTTTATTAAAAAAAAAGGGTCCCAATGCACCTATACGATATGATACACCTGATACAAGGCGTATTATATAAATCCAAATAATGGGAGAGGCTCCAATACTCCCCTCCCCAATGATATTGAAAGCAACAAATTTTTGCATTAAAAAGAACTTTAGTGTAACATTTAAATTTGAAAAAAATATCAAACACCTTAGGTTTATGAGCCCTAGGATATATCCTTGAGAACTTAGGAAAATGATAAAAAAATAAAACACAATAGAAATGTCTATTGTCTGACTTAATTGGGGCTGGACCCCAGACACTTGAGTAAATTAAATCCAATAGATTCTTAGATCGACAGGTAGAACACTGTAAGAACAATCTGTAATCTTTACCCATTTGACATGATTCACAAATTGATTGACTCGACCTATCACAACTATATAAGGAAGACCATATTGTAAAATAACCTATTGTACAACTCCAGGAGCTACATAATCAGGACGCAAGTACCACCTATTGATTGATGTTCATTCTAAGACGAAAAGCAGTACAAGCCATCTCTACGACCCCTTGTAGAAGTATTCTCCCCCAATAAATCCTTTACAAAATAACAATCACGGAGGAATTGAAAGAAGAAGTCATTGTCCTGTGTAAAATAGCTAATTGATAGAAAATTCTTGAAAATAGAAGGAACATGACAAATGCCATTCATTGTATCAGCATGCTACGTAAACAAAAGGGAGGATGTATATCAGCACGCTGGGCGTAAGCTGATATTGATAGCGTACTCTTCTTGAGGCTTTGCAATTTGGAGAATTCTTAAATGAGAATGAGTTGAGTAACTTTGAGCCAAGGTTCCCCAAACTTCAACTGCAGTGAATAGACCCACTACCTAGGCCATCACTCCTTTGGTAAGTGAAGAGATCAGTCAACTAAGTACCAGTTGGTCAAGGTTCCACTTATCATATTCCGGATTGTGAATGTTACTCGTACCTGTGGGAATTAAGATCTCTCATGGTGATGGCTTCTTCTTACCTTCGATGAGCACCATCAAATGATGATGACGAAGAATGGGCAAGAACTGGGCACACCACAATAGGTAGTTGTTTGTGCTTAACTTGATGGGAAGATAACGAGTTACATTTTGAATCAATGGGACTAAACCTGCAATGGTTGATGAACTTGAATCTGCTTTAGCATTGCAAGAAGTTGGGATGATGCTGTTATGAGCTATGTCTGTTAATGTGGCTCTAATGCCATGATAAGATACAAAATAATAAAAGAGATAGACCTGATTTGAGAAGAAAATATTATTGTTCGAATGATTAGCTATCAACCGAGATATTTGAATTTATAGAGTTGTAGTACAAAGAGTTTGAAGTGT